AATAACTTGCCAAGCCAGGGCGCGCATTGTCTTTCTGGAAACCCCTTGCCCTGGGTTATCATGAACATCAGAACAGAGGAAGCTGATTGTGGAGCCTGCGTGACATGCAGATTCAGATGAGTGATGAGATACTCACACTACGTCTCCATCAGTGTCTCCCCAGAGACAGGCCTTCAGGCTCTTCAGGCCCCTCCTAAAGCCCCCCTGGGCTGGCAGAATTGCAGTCTGATTGACATAATGAGCCTGGAGAAGGCTGATTAGGGTAATGGCGAAGATAGTCTGCCTGGTTTGTGCCCCGGCTCTGCATTAACCAACGACATGACCTTGGGAGCGTTACTTAATCTCTCACAGCCTTAGTTTGTCAATAGGGGTGATGATATTACCTACCTCATAGGTGGTTGTGGGGATCAGAAAAGATATAACTAAGATATGAAACTCAAACAAGATGTAAGCTCTCCTTATATATAGGGCTCACCTAGTGCCTCTCTTCTAGTGCTTTAAAAAGATTGTCTTTTCTTATCATTAACTTTCAAGGCCTCCTGTTACTGCTCTTGTGGTGGCGTAATGTTTGTAAGCATTCCTGAATCTTCTAGATTTTCTCAAGCCACTCATTCAGATTCCATTAGAAACTTTTCCGTGGTCATTTGCACTTGTTGCCTTTAGTCAGGACCCGAGCTTACCTGTCCAGAAAGCAGCCAGTATACGGAAAGTAGATGGATGCTCTCTTATACTGGCTTAGGGGCATGGCATTCTTTAAATAGTCACCACTGGCCAAATGTGGCTCTGACCCCTGATAACATCTTCCAGAACCTGGGAAGTGCCTATCATTTTATTGTCAAAAAAATGTTTTTTGAGTGCTTAGCTAATCAACAACTCGTAATTATTCACAAGTAGCTGTCTTGTGGCAAACTTGGAAGTTCAACCTTACTTCATCCTGTCACTTAGCAGGCACTTAGCAGGCTTCGGCAGTTTGCTTGAAAATTGTAAAAATGCCATTAAGTTTAGCTTAAGCTAGATAAAATTAAGAATGTAAATCTGCTGCTAAAAAGAATATATAGTAACATGGCTCAAAATTTAGTAGGAATAACTTACTATTTGATCAGTATTTATTATCTTCTGTGTGTCAATGACACAGGATGATTGAGGCATAAGTTAAGTGATTCAGACATACTAGCATGAATCAGGCATGGATTTGACCCTTTTATTTTATTTTATTTTTTTTTTTAATTTCTAGGAGAGAGAGAGAGAGAGACAGCGTGAGCAGGGGAGGGTCAGAGAGAGAGGGAGTCACAGACTGAAACAGGCTCCAGGCTCTGAGCTGGCGGTCAGCACAGAGCCCGATGCGGGGCTGGAACCCATGAACCGCGAGATCATGACCTAAGCGAAAGTCGGACGCTTAACCGACTAAGCCACCCAGGCGCCCCCGGATTTGACCCTTTTAAAAGTATGTATCAGAAGACGGTGGAATGGCATGAGTGAAATAAAGTGTTATGGGAGTCTAGAGGAGGAAGATGTTATGTCTGTGATGGCCAAGGAAATGGCACGCAGGAAGTGGTATCAAAGACGACATATGGACCGAAAGGCATTTCAGGTATGGAGGGGACATGGGAAAGAAGTGATTGAATTGGAGCAAAGTCTATTTGAAGTGGAATGGAGGGGAGCAGTGTAGAAAGGCAGATCAGGCACAGGCTAGAAGAGCCTTGAATGCCAATCTGGGGAATTTAGAACTATCTGTGGGCACTGGGAGCCATTGAAAGTTTTTGAGCATGCTGATCAGAAGTGGCAGGGCAATGTGCTTAGATGTGTACTTGGGGAGGTTAATCAGGCAGAAGAAGAGAATGGACTTTAGTGGGGAGGATCTGACAGCAGCATGGACAGCAATTAGAAAGCTCTAGGAGCCACCCTCAGGTGAAAGCTAATGTGGGCCTGATCTAAGGTTGGGATAGTAGGAATGGAAGGTAGGGAATGGATATAGGGGAGATTTTACAGCTAAATCAGTAGAACATCACAATTTATTGGAACTGAGAAGCATGGGAGAAGGAGAAATTTAAAAATGGAACTGAGGCTCGGAACCAGATTAACTAGAAGGCCAAAGAAAGAGACAAAGAAGGAAGAGTAAGTTACATGAGAAGATGTGAGCTTGATTTGAAGATGCTGAAATTAATAGTGCTGCGATTCATTACATCAGTCTTGCAGTTCTTGTTAAAAATGGAGGAAAGGTGCCGAAGCCAGTCACAGATTGAGACAAAGGCTACAAAATCATCCACATCAGGGTGACATCCTTGTCAACAGTGAGGACATCCATATGGAGCAGGTGTTGCAAGCGTGGTGGGAATGAGTCATACCATATATGGCTCATAATTATGTTCATTTGTGTGTTTTTAAAATTTTTTAAATTAAATTAGCATTTTAAGATCAGGAGATTGTACTTTTTAAGACATGGCTTCTCTTTTCAAAATCAAAAGATGTGGCTATGAACTCATTCTGTCACATGATAGCAATAGCTGGAACGAGACAGGGTCTGCAGCCTTGAGGTCATGGATGGATTGTCTAATTCAACACAGTCTCCACTACTCCCCATCATCTCCTAATACTTAGTATTAAGCACAAAGCAGAGTAATAGTTGCCTAGGGCTGGTGGGCAGGAAAGAGGGGCTTGAGGCCTATATAGTTAAGGGGTATGGGATTTCTTTTTGAGGCAATGAAGTATTCTAAAGTTGATTGTAGTGATGCTTGAACAACTGTGAATATAGTAAAAACCATTGAACTGTATACTTCGGGTGGATTGCATGATGTGTGAATTATCTCAGAAAAGCTGTTTTACAAAAATGCAAAAAAGAAAAGAACAATCAGTTGCTATTGCCTTTGCAGGGTTGGTTTTCTTCTAACAGAAAATATTTCTCTGTTAATATGTCTCTGTCATACTGGGGAAGATGAAAGACAAGAGGGTTATATATTTCAAGAAGAATGGAAGACAGTGTATCTCTTTGTGGTAATAAAGAATTCCTGCATTTTAATATGCAAACACCTGACCTCTTTATTAATACACATTATCTTCCTAGCCACTGAAGGCATTTCGGTGGTAGGAGAAAACTTGGTCATGGCCCAGCCCCTGAGGTCCACCCACAACTAGGAAGAAATAGAGAAGAGAAGCAGAGAAGGAAAAGAATACTCCACATGGTCCAGAAAGCAGTATGCCGAAGGAGGGGGAAGCTTGATCAACTGCTGACAAGAGGTCGAGGAGGATGGGGACAGGAGGTTACGGGAGACCATCCAGTGAGAAAGCTTAGAGAAATGGGACCAGAGAGAGACACAGGCACAGATGACAAAGTGCCCTGGGTGCATTGTTCAGGAGTTAGTATTTCCTCTCAGTACAGAGGGCTGCTGCTGGAGGAGTTTAAGTAAGGGAGTGATGCAATCACATGAGCACAGTCTAGATCATGTGTTTTCCAATTAGTTTGTGTATGTTTTGACTTATGTTCATGATGAAGCAAGGTCACCCTAAACTTTATCCTTCCCTATGCTAAATTCTTCATTCTGAAACTTTCAGGCTTGTTGAGGTCCCAGTTGTTGGTTTCTATCTAATTCATTCCTGTACCTGCTTGAACCAGAGAAAATGTATGGTTGGTGTTATCTAACCCAGGGGCTTTCAACCTCAGCACTGTTATGTTTGGGGCTGGATGACTCTTTGTTATGGGGGCCTGTCCTGTGTCTTGCGGGGTGTTTAGCAGCATCGCCAGCCTCTGCCCTCTAGATGCCAGTAGCTCTTCCACTGAGACATTGCCAACAAAATCACCTCCAGCCTAGAACCACAGACCCACATTCATCTGCCATAATATTTGGGCCCAGGGGTGTAAGGCCATGCAAAGCCACCCTGAAAGATGACTGGTCTACAAAAGAAGACCAATTCCTACTCTAGACTGAGGGGTAAAAATCAGATGATACAGTAGGCAGGCAATGAATGAGAAAAGCTCAAGACCTCATGTTGATTTAGCTAATTCAGTGGACTTCAGCCCCTCTGTTCTTAGTCTCCTCATTAAAAAGAGATGGCATCTTGTGGATACAGGGCAAACGAGATGTCTCACTCTGCCCCGCAAACGAGATGTCTCACTCTGCCCCCCACTAGGGCTAAGATTCCTCCCATGGCCCAGGGCCAAAGTGGGCACAGGAATTCAGAGGAGACCTCAGGATGTGCCAGATGTGATGGGGGACTGGCTTCTAAGTGGTGAGACTCATGGGCCTGCCTCTAAGAAGGAACAAGAGGAGGAGAACAGGAATAGTTTCTTTCTGGTCACATTAAGAGAGATCCGCAAAGCTCTGGGGATGTAAGGCAGTAGCTGTGGCTCAACCTGGAATAGACTAGAAACTCAGATGAATACTTCAGATCCTCCCCTTTATAGGAAAGTCTTAGAAGGTGAAAGGATGTTTCTCTGGGGATAAGGATGTCTAAAACAGTTGAGACATGAAATGGTTAGATCTTCTAGAGTGCTCTTCTGGGAGGTGTGTGTGCAGGGGTTGGAAGGGCAAAGGAGTTTTATATACATATTCCACCATTTCTACATCATTTAGGAAAATTGAGTTAAGACTCTTGTCAAGCTAAAAAAGTCTTACAACTGTTAAACTAAGACTATTTCGTATCTGGCTCTTATTCTATGTAGTAGCATTATGCCTTTCTACTGTGGATGTTGAGTGGCTCGATTTATTATTAGCAATGGCTCCAAGCGCCTTGCATGCAACCTCTCACTGATCTATAACTCTGTTATCTTTTAGCCCAGTGGTGGTCGCTTTGGCTGAGGCTGAAGGAAACTCATGCTGGTTTTTATTTTTAGTCTCATGTTCCTTAACCCCTCTCCTTCTTCTCTAATTTGTCAACTTTTGTGGTCATGAGCTGAGCCCCCCAGTCGTCTCTAAGCAATGAGCGATGACTGGACTTTTGTTTATGTGAAACACCATTACAAGAAAGGGCATTCATAGTCATGGCTTTGCCCTGTTTCATTTCAGGCACTTGTGGATCCAGCTGTGTGATGGCTGCCCTAGGAAACACCTGGAGTCACAGTGTGAACACCCGGCTGATTTTCCAGTACCTTGGTTCAGAGAGAAGACAGGTGAGTGCTTTGACAATGTAGTCTGACTGTCAAGGTCATCAGAGAACAAGATGTATTTAGCAATGTGAGTGTTCATCTTCTGAAAGCATTGGCCACGTTGTCTGTCCTGGGCCAACATTGTCAGGGGTTGGTAAAGAAACCAACATGCCCACCTGCCCTGATAGCTCTTATAATGAAGTGGGAAAGAAGCCGCTCACAGGAAACTATATGTAAGAATAGAGCCCATAGAGTTCATGTGCCTCCTGATATTTGTCAGTGGCTTGTAAGTGACTAAGGTCCACCACATCTCTAAGGGGTCTCAAACTCTCCCATCTCTAAAAGGTGAATGATCATTTCACTTAGCTGGTGTTTGTTGAGGACTAGATAATTTGTGTACAAATTAAATAGGGATGGTGCTTTTTCTTGAGGTTAGTATGCTTAGAAAACTGTAGGCCAGACAGATTCTGCCACGTGATTAAACCACTCCCCAGACCCTGGTTACTTGTGCGTTAACTCCTAAGCCAATAGGTTCTAGGACTGAAAGATGCCAGAGAGACCCCCAAAAGGATGATAGCTCTCTCAGAGCTCTCTGTGTATGGTTTCAATCCTGGCCTCGAGTGAGAATTCCCCACCTTCCTTCCAGAAAGGTTACTTTCTACCCCGTTCTTAATCTTCTCTTTCACTCTGAAGAGAGGGACACCACAGTCTGACCCCTTTGGTCAAATGTTTCATAATTAGGGAACTTATTTTCCCCAGTGTCTAACGTCAGCTTTATTCTGTGGTGTAGACCAGGTTCTAGCATGACCTCTCCCACAAGCAGAAGGAGGAAGAAGACAGGGCGATTGTTCCGATTTGCCGGATGGGGCTGAATTCAGAACCCAGATTTCCCCATCTTGCTGAATATACTACAATCCAAGTTATTAACTAAAGAGGCATGAAATATCATGCTGGTGGTCCTTTCTGAGGGAGGTGGCAGGGAGCTTGCCCTTTACCTGCATTAGGTAAATTGGCTCTCTTTCAGGGAGTCAGGAATCATCAGAAACAGACATGAGCCTTTGCCCGTTCCAGACATAACTTTCCAAGTGCCCTTGGTTACAGACCAGAGGATTCTTCTTGGTGTGCTTGGGACTGTGTAAATAACATTCCAGCTTGATGATTGAGTCAGCCATGTTCTGAGAAGATGGAGCTGCTTGTTTTCATTTAGGGGAACATTCTTAAGTTTTCAGGCCCTGGCGTGCTCATTACCTCAGCAATACCTTTTCCCCGATGATTCAAGTATCCTGGGTTCGGAATCCATTACTTCTCTTTTCAGTGGAATGTATCCAAGGATGTTCTTGTAGAACCTAATGACCTTTGGTTTGTACCCTAGGTTATAAATTATGTTATATAAACCCAGTTTGCAGCTATCAGGGATATCGTTAAGGATTGTCAAGTGCTGCTACCTAAACTCTTATTTGAGGAAGCAGAATTCCTTGTGAATCAGTGTTCCTTCCATTCACTTTCATGGATCTTTAACCCCTCTCCTTGACAATGTGTAGTTTGTCTCTGTTTTAGGTTTTAGATAGCACACAATGAGTTGGTGATATAGTCTATTATTTGTGGTATCATGGATTCCAGGCTCCCAGATCCTTGTTTTTACCAATTCTAGCTAGTATTTATTAGTAAATAAAGAAGTTAGAGCCATATTCTTCTTTTCCTTTTGTTTTAATAAAATAGCCAGTCGTTTCCATGTTTTTAATGTCAACAGGAAGTGGCTGGTAGGAAAATGCTATCATTTTATGTCTCTTTGGTAACTGCAGGGTTTTGGTGGTCCTCAATTCTTGGCTCATAAGGTCAAATACAGGCCACCAGTCACAAGAACAAGGAGCACAGTATGGCTGGATCAGTGACAGTCTATCAACTCATATCCTATGAAATGAGTCAGTGATGTTATCTTAATCTACAAAGAACAACATGTTGCTCTCATTGGTAATCAATCAAGAGCAGAGTTAAATGCTTTTGAATCATGTTTTTACACACTATTTAGTAAAATATGTAAATAAAACAGTAAAATATAATAAAATGCTATAGCAAAGTAAAATATGACCAGTGTTAAAATGGCCAATCCAGGCAAAAGAACTTACACTTAATTAATCTCTAGAAATGTGCATGCCTTTGGGGACCAGTCCTTCAGTTTGTGGCCTAATAACTAGGATAAAATTTGATATAGAAAATATCTCTCTCTCTGATGAACTTATCTTACATTAGTAGAAGGTGTGCATCATGCAACCTTGAGCCTTTCCTATGGTCTTACTTCATGACAAAGTAGAGAAACCATATGAAGATAAGTCTTTTCTGGGATCTTTGCACAAAACAGTAGCTTCAACTAGTCTTTAAGGCAAATGTTCCAAATAGTACTTCCCTATACACTACTTAGTAGGAGAACATGCCCAGATCATTCTAGCATTGGCAGGTCTATGGAACACCAGCCACCAGGAGAAGACACCAGGTATAGCTCCCCCAACCCCCACCAAGGCACAGAGGCCACTACACCAAGGGATCAAGGACACGGAATGAGGATTATGTTTTATCCCGTTTCTATGACATTGAGCTCTACACCAGGGCTCTCGAATTTGAGGCTTAGTCTGAGATCACAGGGCTGGAAGGAGGTCAGGTCAAGCTGAGCGGCTCTGCGAGCCGATTAAACCAAGAGCTGAATTGTAAAGTCCAAGGGAAGGAGTCCTCCCTGGCTGATTATTTTCTTTACACCCTGGAAACTTGGTAAAATTATATAACCAAGAAAGAAATCTCCTTATCAGGGCACAAGCCAAGTTAATTCTCTTGTTTATTCTGCTTCAGTGTTTGCAAAAACCCTCTTAAGAAACTGGGAAACATTTTCTTTTGGACTAATTTAGTTTTTTTTCCATTTGACTTTTATTTACTCTTCGAGTCGGCTTCAATCCTGCCCCACCCTTTTTGCAACATTTTTATTCTTAACAAAGACATGTCCTTAAAGTAGAATTAAAATGGCTTCTATTAGGGTTCCCCCCCCCTTTTAGTATTTTGGTCTTTTTTTTTTTTTAATAATCAAAAATATGTTTTTGGTCCACCATGTGCATGATGTGGGAATGCAAAGAGGAAGATACAGTTCCTGCCTTCAAGTCTCTGGCCTCATATGAGAGCTGGTCCATGTGTGTATACACTCATAAATAATCAAAGCAAAGTGCAGGAGTTAAAGAACAAACTAATATTGAAGTGCTGTCACAAGGCAGTGTTTGATTTGTTACCTAATAAGCGGTGAAAATGGTACCTGCTTTGAATCCAGAGCAAGATAAACTCATCAGAGGCACGTTAGTTTTTTTTAGAAGGTGGGTCTTGAGTATCACTTTAAATCAGTGTTTCTCAAGCCTGGCTGCACTTTAGACTCATCATGGGAGCATTTACTAAATAGCAATGCCAGAGCCCCACCCTGACTGATTAAATCAAAATCTGTGCCAATGGGGACGGGTACAACTGTTTACTTTATCCATAAAGCTCCCCCAAGTGATTCTACTGTGCAGGCAAGGCTGAAAACCAGCGCCTTAAATAGATAAATGTATGTTACTGAGAAAAGAAAGGGAAGATTTGGGGTGAAGAGAAACAGCAAAAGCAGGCAAATCACACATTCAGAAGACACAGGTTGGGTTTGGCCCTGTCACAAAAGCAGAGGGTCTGTGCCATCATTTATTTGACAAGCCTTTATTTAATTACCGCTTCCCTGCTAGTCACCATGTAAGATGGAGATTCAAAATAGAAGTAAGTTGATGCCCTGAAGTTGTTCACAATCTACTGGGGGAAGGAGGTGAATGTGGAAATGGTACATGCTGCATGGCCATGATGGGTTTGGTGAGCTTGGAGGAGAGGGCGGGCCCCACTGCAGAGGAAGGTTCTTTGGGGGTTGTTGAGGCCGCAGCATGTACAACCGGATTGGCTGAGACCTTCCTTCAGGAGGCGCTCAAAGTGACCAAGCGGGCTGTCCCGAGGGGCTGGAAAAGGTGAAGTAAGGGTGGTAATACTTGAAAGGAAGATGAAAAACTTGATGAAATATTTATACTATTTCTCATCAAATCATCATGAAGTCCATTCCTACAAACCATATGTGGGGGTTATGTAAATTTTCCAGTGCCCCAGAAGTAATGAAGTAAATTAATCCCAACTAAAGCTTCACACCCTCTTGATGAAATAGTATGAGTCTCTCATTTCAACAAACTGGGAAGAGGTGACTTTTTCATACAGGAGGTTTATTTAAAAGGATTTTACAGGGGCGCCTAGGTGGCTCAGTCAGGCGTCCAACCTTGGCTCAGGTCATGATCTCATAGTTCATAGGTTTGAGTCCCTCATCAGGCTCTGTGCTGACAGCTCAGAGCCTGGAACCTGCTTCAGATTCTGTGCCTCCCTCTCTCCCCCTCCCCTGCTCATACTTTGTCTCTCAAAAATAAATAAATGTTAAAAAAATTTTTAAGGATTTTATAATATTTTCATCCTTTATTTAGAAGTCACCTGGAAATAAAGAACACTTGAGGGAAGGGGCACCTGGGTGGTTCAGTTGGTTAAACATCTGACTCTCAGTTTCTGCTCAGGTCATGACCTCATGGTTTCATGAGTTGGAGCCCTGCATTGGGCTCTACACTGACAGTGCAGAGACTGCTTGGGATTCTCCCTCTCTCTCTCTCTTTCTCTTTCTCCCTGTCTCTCTGCCCCTCCCCCACTCGTGCTGTCTCTGTCTTAAGTAAACTTAAAAAAATTTTTTTTAAAAAGAACACTTGAGGGAAGAGCCTAAGGTACCCAGTAAATTATTGAGGAGACCAATCCTACTACTCAGGCTCCTGATCCTTACTGGAATCCTTAGGTTTTTCTCAAGGTTCCAGGTTGTTTTGCATCTTGGAAGTATTTAGTGTCTCCTTTCTGGTGATATAATTCTCTCAGTATCCATTTTGCATTTTAAAAGACTCAAACACCATCACTGTGAAGACTTCCTGACACCCAGCCTTAATCAGCCTGCT